TATGGACAAAATAAGTTGAGATACATTTGGTCCCTGTTTACAGCAAGCTAGCAGCCCCTGGTGTTGCTCTGGAATTCTCAGGAACAAAAAACAAAACAAAGCTCCACTATATTTTGGAAATCAGTGGTTAAAATCTGTGCACTTCTGAAAGGTTGAGTCCCCCATCTTGATTCAAAATGACGCCCAACTGTATAGAAACATAGATGAAAACCTGTGACGCTATCTAAAGAATTGTCCAAATGCATATTGAATGAACAGGACTCCAAAACAGACAGTAGTAGATTGTCAAAGGAATGATTGTCTCCTAAAAGTTCAGTATTGGTTTGTTTGTTTTTTTAAAATGCTTTAAGCTGATGAGCACATTTTTGGATCAGAGACATTATAATTGCTTCTCTCTCTCTCTTTTAGTCTTCTCTTTGACAACAATAACTTGGGAAAGTATGATAAAGAGATTAGTATGTTTGAAAGATTTATACGTTACATTTGTCAATATAATAACCACTATACTCTTCTAATTATTACAATTAATTCAGTCCTCTCTTGTTTTGATACAAAAACCGAAAGGCTGGCTGTAATTAATTTGAATCAGTAACTGATGAGTAATACAGCTATTATTTGAATGCGTTATTTAATATTTCTTTTTTTGATAATATTTACTAAATAGAGCCTAAAAGGTTTTTAGGAAGAAGCAAAAAGAGAAACGAGGAACAGGCTCTGTAATGGGCAGGGCACCTGAGAAACGTGCCAAGAGGAAGGCACGCTTGGCAAACCCTCACCGTGATCAACTCCCGCCTGGAAACCTATGTCCCCACTGTGGAAGGGTGTGTAGATCCAGAATTGGCCTCCACAGTCACCTTCTGTTAAAACCATGTTCCTGGAATACAATCTTACTCGGCTACGAGTGATCTCCAAAGAAGAAGAAGAAGAAGAAGAAGAAGAAGAAGAAGAAGAAGAAGAAGAAGAAGAAGAAGAAGAAGAAGAGTCCTCTGAATGTGATTGGACTCAAACTATCAGCCCCTGCCATCCATGGTGGGCAGTGCTCATTGAGGGGCGGAAGGCAGGGAGCCCAACAGTAGGCGAAGCCAGAGCAATGATGGGCAGAGATAACTAAGCCTAGTTTTGTCCCCATCCTCTTTCCTCGTGTTCTGTAAGGACAACACTGAGACTTGGGAGCAGGAGAAAGATTGGCAGTGCCACCCTCTGGACTGGTTGACAGTAAGAAGGCAGGCAGCTGGGGACTGGCTGAAGGCAAACTCAAGTTGATGGGCCAGTGCCCCATTTGCCTACATGGACCAGCCTCCTCTGGTCAGGGATGGTGGTAGAGAGTCCAGGAAAATATTGAGAGCCACAGGCTCCCCATCCCTGCTCCTTAATGTGCACATTCTCTGGCCAAGCCAGGATCATGGTCTCGATCCCACAGGTACCTGGTGTCAGAGACTGGTTAGACACAGTGACCAGCTGGGGAACCCCCAAAGGAACCCCCAAGGGAAGACGGCTCAGAGCCCCTAGGGATTGGTGGTGGGACAATGATGAGTGGTCAGAGGGAGAAGAGCAAGCAGATGAGGAGGAGGTGTAGGAAGCTGAAAAGGTAACAGGGTTTAGTGAGCTAGAGGAGGCTGTGGCAGAGAGCAGTTCAGACTCGGAGGCAGAAGTGAAGGCTGGAGAAGAAGGGGGCCAAGAGACAGAGATCAGGCAGGCGGCTGAAGAAGCCAGGGGGTCTCCCCCTCCTGCTGCGGCCAGCTGCCCTCCCTGCTGGTGTCCCAGAACTTGAGGTTTGAAGAGGGTGGAGCAAAGACAGGCAAGGCAAAGGAGCCTCTGATTGCTTGGGAAGGACCTGGGGGAGGAGGAGACTTAGGGAACTGTTGGAATGTGGGGAACCTTCAGTCCTTGCAACTGCCCCATTGGGCCAAGACCTACTGGGAAGAGTTGCTGTGCTTTTGTTGAAGAAAGAGTTAGCTTCCCTGCCACCTTTGAGTTGTTGCTGACTGGTTCCTGACTCCAGCCTTGACACCTGGCTGGCCACTGCGGGAACAGGATGTAAGACTAAGAGGATGTAGAACCCAGCAGGCTCACCTTATGTTCTTATAATATATTCTTATGTTCTGCACAGGGACGCGGGTGGTGCTGTGGGTTAAACCACAGAGCCTAGGGCTTGCCAATCAGAAGGTCGGCGGTTCAAATCCCCACGACAGGGTGAGCTCCCATTGCTCGGTCCCTGCTCCTGTCAACCTAGCAGTTCAAAAGCACATCAAAGTGCAAGTAGATAAATAGGTACCGGTCCGGCAGGAAGGTAAACAGCGTTTCCGTGAGCTGCTCTGGTTCGCCAGAAGCGGCTTAGTCATGCTGGCCACATGACCCGGAAGCTGTACGCTGGCTCCCTCGGCCAATTAAAGCGAGATGAGCGCCACAACCCCAGAGTCGGCCACGACTGGACCCAATGGTCAGGGGTCCGTTTACCTTTACCTATGTTCTGCGCACTGTCTATGCTCCATCCAGGTGGACAGGGAGGGAGTGTGGCCTTGGGGGGAGTCTCTGGACAGGCAGTATTTGGCTCCCAGACCTGAGGTGCCCCAGCCTGCTCCAACCACTACACCACACTATTGTGGCTCCGTTCTGGGGCAAACAGATGGACCTTACGTGCCAAAACTTCCCTCTGGCCTCAAATCTATTTGTCACCAAGCGACTGAAATGGTCGCTCTTACATTTCATGTTAAATGGGAGAAGAAGTTGGCTGTTGAGTGTCCCTCCAACTCTTGAACTATGCGCAACACTGTATTGACTCCATCTGTGTAAAAGCAATACATATATTTCTAACTGAACTGTGTGCGAACTGCTTTGATGGCTCACTGGTGATGAGACACATTAAATGCAGGGACCCGTTTTTATGTTTTTTAAGAGGGAAAAATGATCCAATATCGAGAAAAAACTGGAGTGATTAAAATTTCTGTGTTCTCATCAAACCTTGTAAATGAAATTGTCCTTCCCAGCATAGACTTATGAAGGCCAGGCCCCGTAAAGATAAACCTCTAAAACCAGCTGAAGGGTGGGTGGGAGGGAAATATAAAATCCAAATAACAAATTCACCCTCGCGGTAACGAGGAGGCAAACAAATACCGGCCTTGCTTTAAATAATGGAAGCCCTAAAGAAGAGGTAGGGGAAAAGAGATGCATTTCCGTGCTTGATGAGAAATCTCAGCCTTTGCTTTTGATTGTATCTCCTGTCTGGGCTGAAGACGGCGGTGAAAAATTTCCCAAGACTCCTCAATTTCCAAGAGGACCTGGCTAGCTGGAACAATGGGGAAATCAAGTGGAGCAGTAGCTCATCATAAGACCAGAACAGCCTGCTGGATCAGAGCCAGTGTGGTGCAGTGGTTAAGAGCGGTGGACTCGTAATCTGGTGAACCGGGTTCGATTCCCCGCTCCTCCACATGCAGCTGCTGGGTGACCTTGGGCTAGTCACACTTCTCTCAGCCCCACTCACCTCACAGAGTCTTTGTCGTTGGGGAGGAAGGGAAAGGAGATTGTTTGCCGCTTTGAGACTCCTTAAAGGGAGTGAAAGGCAGGATATCAAGTCCAAACTCCTCCTGCTCCTCTTCTTCTTCTTCAATGGCCCATCTAGTCCAGATTCCTGTTCTCACAGGGGCCAACCATTGTGAAGCCCACAAGCAGGACCTGAGGGCAAGAGAACTCTCCCCTCCTGTGGTTTCCAGCAACTGGCATTTAGAAGCATCGCCGCCTCTGGCCATGGAGGCAGAACATAGCCATCCTGGCTGGTAGCCATTGGCAGCCCTCTCTCCTCCATGAACTTGTCTAGTCCTGTTTTAAGCCGTCTAGGTTGTTGGCCATCGCTGCCTCCTGTGGGAGGGAGTTCCACAGTTTAACCCTGCACTGAGTGAAGAAGCACTTCCTTTTGTCTGCCCTGAATTTTCCAACTGGCTAGTAGCCATCGCACCTTTTTTCAGCCTGAAGTGTGTGCATTCATTTTTGGACAGCCTTCTGGAAGCTGCACGGCAGTGGCGGGTGGGGCCAGAGGCAGTGGCATAGCATGGAGGGGGCACAGGGCCAGTTGCCCCGGGCGCAAAATTGTTAGGGGTGCAAAATTTCAACGCCCGGTGCTGCCTCAATACAGCTGCATGCTTCTGTCGCTGGTGTCTGTTGAAAACGGCTTCTTCATGTGAACTAGGAAGTGAACTTTCCAGACAACAGAACGACTCTTCTTTTCTTATCTCTGCCGCACACACCATTAGAAAGTTGAATGTGCATGTGTACTCCGTCTGTTTCCCTCCCTCTGTGCAGACCTGGGTACTGGCAACCCACGCTACACCACTGGGCAGAGGCAAAAGGGGGTGGAGCAATTAATATAACTTTCCCCTTTGTATAGTAGACTAACTTCTGCACACACTCCCACAAAGCCCTCTCCATCCAAGCAAGCAAGAGGCATGATCAGAGTTCAAGGACACATTCCCTCACTTAAGGGTGAGGAGCGAGGTCCGTGAAGGATGCGTCTTGGGAAGAGGAGGTGTGGCTGGAGAGTTGCATCCCTAGTCCTGACCTGGTACTGGGCATGAAACCCTTAGAGGACAAACCAGGCGTGCCACAGGTCAAGGATCCTGAGGAGCAGGCAAGGCTCCTAGAATCCAGTGCTGAGTATCCCCTTGAGAGACCCTCTGTGTTGATCCCTAACTTCTTCATGCAGCGCATGAAACTGTGGAACTTGTTCCTGCAGGAGGCAGTGAAGGCCACCAACCTTGATGACTTTAAATGAGAATTAGATAAACTCATGGAGGAGAGGACCATCAAAGGCTACTAGCCAGGAAGGCTATTCTCATTCTCCCTAGTTGGAGTCAGTGGTACTTCTCAATACTAGTTGCTGGAAACCACCATTCCTGCTCTACAGAAACCATCCCTGTGCCAACATTTGGGTGCCCCATGCAAACTTTCTGATGGGCCCTTCATCCAACATTTGAGTGACAGCCTTCTGAAAAACCCAGATGCCCGGAAATGGGGATACCTTTTAATCTTTTGGGGCAGGGGGGTGAAATTAGGATTTGGTGCAGTCATCTCCTCCTTGCCTCCAGTTACAAGCATCATAAATCGTTCCCTTTCTGGAGTCGCCGAGCGAACACCTTCCTGCCGTGGCGATGGGAAGGTCGGGAGGTCCGTTGGGCAGGACGATTAAGAGATGCACATGGGCGATCTCGCTAAAAAGGAAAAAGGGAAAGAAAGGTGACTAGCTTTATTCCAAAGGACCAGGAAATGAAGCAATCAACACTTGGGGGGGGGGAGGGAGAGAGGAGGGGCTTTGAGGGACAAAATGAGCACCAGGCTCTCCTGCAAATGAGTCTGAAGGAGCCGGTCTCTGGCGGACTCTTTAATCTTCCTCAGCCATGAAAGGACAAACAACCCTAGTAGGAGAAAGTGACGCTTCGGAGAGGCTCGTTTAGATAGGGTGAATGAATGAAAGTTTCGGTGATGTTGTTTGTTTGGGCAAATTTATCACTGGGAACATGCTTCTTATCAGCAGATGTGGGGGGTGGGGTGAGGGGGTGAGGAAGGAGGCTTCCTGTATTCTTTCCTCTTTCTGTCTGTCTCTCCCTCTCCACCCCTCCCTCTCCCAGCTTTCTTCCTTCATTTGTCTCCTGCTGCAGCAGCTGGCAGGACACTTTCCATTTGCATTCTAACTCCAAGCTCCGAATCCTGGCACATTCTCTGCGATGCCATTGCATCTCCTCTGTTGTCTAGCCACGATTTAAGAACGTTGGTGGCTATTGTTGTAATCAAAATCTGCCCTTTTCCCCTTATGGGGTATCCAAGAGCCCATATAGAGTCCTTACATAGGTTCCCTATTGGTAGGAGAAAATAACAAAGGCCAACCAAAGAATATTGAGAAGCAAAGCAGCTAGTAAGCCTGATCTTTATTGATCTGTTGCAACAGGGTGCTCCCATCACACGCAGGAAAGGAGGAGGAACCCAGAACCCAGGTGTGTCCGCCATTATATAGACATTTTAAATTGCCCGCCCTGGAGTTCAAGACCACCCCCCAGACACATCATACCTACATCACAGAAAGGGCGGTCTAGTATCACTGCTTCCTGTGCCATTGAGTTCCGTAGCTTAACGCTGCGCTGGATGAAGAAGTCCTTTCTTTTATCTGTCCAGAAACATCCAGCGTTTTTCAGTAGATGGGCTGCACCTTGAAGGTTTGCACATGAGAAACTGAGAAGCTTTAAGGCAGGGATTGGGGAGCTGCAGGCCCTGTGGCCCCCCAGAGCTCTGTGACTGGCCCCTGGGACCACACCTCCTCTCCTGTCTCCACTGACCACACCTCTCACTGGCTCTGCTTTGCTCCCTCAGTCTTTCTGCCAGGATATGTCCCTGACCTCTGGTAATACCTATCGCTTGCCCAGATGGAGGACAGAATTGTGTGGGTGTGCAGATACTTGTGAGATATTTAATGCAGCCAAACCAACAAATCATGTTAAGCAGAGGTTGGGTGGCCATCTGTCATGGATGCTTCAGTGGAGATTCCTGCATTGTTCAGGGGCTTGGACTAGGGTGATTTTTGGGGTCTACGATTCTATGTTTTGCCAGATAGGTCCTGTCAACTTCCTAGAGAGAGCTCTGTGAGATCACTTCCCCTTTGTGCCCTGACAGGAAGAGGGCGGAGTTATAAATGCTCCTCCCTACCTAGCCACACCCTCTTTTCCACCATGCCTGCAGTGAGAGAACACCTGCCAGTCTGAGCTCAAGCTCAGACTCCAGTTTAAGCTAGACTTAGTGTGTCTTACCATTTTATGCCTGCTTGCATAAAGCTACTGTACCAGTTATTCTTCAAGACGTAGTCTGAGTGTTATTTTTTTTACCTTTTACAAGACTGGTGTGTGGGATTATTATTTTAAGGGGGAGGAAAAGGGAGCAATACCAGAAAGAAAAAAAATCCCAGCCTGCCTTAAAGCATCCTGGATTCATAATACAGTGGTACCTCAGGTTACATACGCTTCAGGTTACAGACTCCGCTAACCCAGAAATAGTGCTTCAGGTTAAGAACAGAAATCGTGCTCCGGTGGCGCGGCAGCAGCAGGAGGCCCCATTAGGTAAAGTGGTGCTTCAGGTTAAGAACAGTTTCAGGTTAAGACTGGACCTCCAGAATGAATTAAGTACTTAACCAGAGGTACCACTGTACCAAAAGGCTAAAACTAGCCTATCTGAGCTTCTCGTTTAAGCCTCTTCTGTCTTGAGGCTCCAATAAATCGATTCTCCCCTAGTATCTAATCAAATCCCAACAATACTAGCCTGTTGTACAAAGGTGAAATGTGCATTTCTTTATCTGCTAGCTTCTGCCTTTGGTCCTGTCCAAAGGCTTGTGGCCCCCAGGAGATTGCTCAGAAGGAAATGCGGCCCTTGGACAGAAAAATGTTCTCCTCTTCTCTGGCATGCTAGAAGGCAACATCCCAGCAGAGCAGTGACGGCTGGTGGCTCCCCTTCCCCACCAGGGAAGAAGGGGTGAATGAAGAGCTATGTTAGGAACAAGGGGGATGGGGATAAAGATCTACATCAGGATTTGCTGCCCCTGTGGACAGACTGCCGCCTGAGGCAGTTGCCTCACCTTGCCTCCTGGGTGGACCGGCCCTGATTCATTACCTGGAGAAATTGCACTGCAAACTTTGAAGCAGTTTGGATCCTGAAGGATGCCTACGTCTTGCTTCAACTGTTGTGCAAGTTAGGTGGTGTTGCCTTTAAGTCATGGGTAGGCAAACTAAGGCCCGGGGGCTGGATCTGGCCCAATCGCCTTCTAAATCCGGCCCACGGACGATACGGGAATCAGTGTGTTTTTACATGAGTAGAATGTGTCCTTTTATTTAAAATGCATCTCTGGGTTATTTGTGGGGCATAGGAATTCATTCATATTTCCCCCCCCCCAAATATAGTCCTGTCCCCCACAAGGTCTGAAGGACAGTGGACCAGCCCCTGCTGAAAAAGTTTGCTGACCCCTGTTTAAGTGCAAATTGGATCAGATTTCTCTCCTATCCCTACTGCCTAGTGTCAGGATTTGAACCTCCTACTAAGGCTTGAGGTTGGGTTGAGATAGAAGCCACATTAGCTGATGATCTTTCCCCCCGCCAATCCCTGCTCTCACTCTGAGCCCACAACAGGTCACATACTAACCTGTTACTCCTCCCATAAATGCTTCCAGGCTGGGTTTAAGTGCTAGACTGGGCCGCATGGTACACTGGTTAAGTGCTGTGGCGTAGCGTGGGGGGTGCAGGGGGGGCCGGCCGCACCGGGCGCAACATCTGGGGTTAGGGCAAATCCACGGGTTAGGGGGCGCAAATCCACAGGTTAGGGGGCGCAAATCCACGGGTTAGGGGGCGCAAATTACTTGCCTTGCCCCGGGTGCTGACAACCCACGCTACGCCGCTGGTTAAGTGTGTTGGAGTAGGCGCTTGGAGGCCAGGGTTCGAATCCTCACTTGGCCATGAAGCTTGCTGGGTGACCGTGGGCCAGTTGCTCCATTTTGACAGGGTTGCTGTGAGGACAGAATGAGGAGGAAGAGAAGCTTACATGTGGCCTCGAGGAAAGGTGGGATATCAGTGTGACAGAAAATAAAATAAATGTGGCTCTTTAGCTGCAGGGGTGCTGGATCTGACAGTAATATTTAAGTAGAAGACTTGATTCCTCCTCCCTGCATCCCCAAAACACCAAAAACTGTCGAAGTAAAATTTGAAGTTAATCCAGACCCCTTCCTTTAAAAGTTGGCGATTATTAGTCCGTGTTGAAGCCAGAGAGTGTCTACGGATGTGCATCTCTGTGTTGGAAGCTATTTGGCCGAAAATGTCAGAGGCGTTGTCTTCAGAGATGGATTTTGCAGCTGTAAAATGATCTATAATCTGCCCCCCCCTCTTTCCCAGGCTACTCAGTCAAAAAAAAGTGAGTGGGGTGGGGAGAGGAATGGATCTTTTAAAGATATAGCTATCCATCTCCTGTTATTTACATCCCAAAATATCCGAGCACACCCATTTGGCAGTCGGGGGAATGTAGATTAGAGGGTCATTATACCCCGCTCCAATCCCTGCCCCTCCCCCCAAAGAGGTCCATTCCTTCCCCAGAATTAGAAATGAAAATGGTGGTTTTCTTAGGAAAAAGGAAAAAGAGCAGCCCAGCTGTAACTTGAATATGTAAAACCTCCTGGCTCCTAAGTAAGCCAAACTGGGTTGTTGCCTGCCGAAGAGCGCCGATGAAGGACAGGTGAGATGGGAGTATCTGACCGAGGAATCGGCCCTAAACAGCTATTTATATTAATGCAAAGGAGACCCGATGTTCCTCTGTTTGATATATGCTGCTCTGGGATATAGTTTTATCCCCACCAGTGAGAATAAGAATGTACAGTTCATGATAGGGAAAGTGTCACGTGGGCGAGATAAAAAAGCCGAGAATGTAATGTATGTCTCTGCAATGTATTCTCTCCAGACCTTTGCTCAAGATCTGGGAATGACAAGAGAGAAATACTTACTCAAGCTAAGACACTTCAGCTGGCTGGTTTCTCTCTTTTTCCTTTCCCCCCTTCTCTCTCTCTCTCTCTCAAAAAAAAAAAATTACTTATGGGTTTTGTTGTGCTTTTTCGGAGAAAGCAATGTGGCTTTTAAGTTGCCGATTCACCAGATTATTATTTTTTCAAAGCGTCTAGATCCACGGAGTGTATTCTGCAACATCAACATTGTATTTTGTTCATTAATTTAATTAATAAAAATTTAAAAAACCTCGCTCCTCACCCAAAAAAGGCTACTGGAGGTGCTTACAAATCACCGGGGTGGCAGCGGGCAAGAAACAGTCCTCTCCCTCAGGCGAAGTGCCTAAAAAGGCCACAACATAAAAGGAAAAAGGGTTGGGAGGGAGGAGGAAATGAAGAAACCAAGTGTCATGTTTGTGGGATGTAACATCACTGCAGCAGTCAAGTACAACACTTCCTGTTTGCCCAGAGTGGACACACAGGGGACTTTCTGTCACACCTGTCTGTATCATCCTCCCCCTGCGTGTGACCAGGTAGATGGGCGTGACCCTGGAAGACCCCATAAAAGGGCTGGTCACACAGCCATCTTCCCTTCTTCACTTTATTCCATCTTGATGTTATTTTGCTGTCTGCTGGCTCTCGGCCAGCAGCACATGGGCTCACTCCCCATATGGGAGGAACCTACACTCTCTTCTGTAACTACAAGCGAAAGCCTGCCTTCGGGATCATACTGTGAACCCAACCTAAGTAAACTTCTTATCATTACTCTTATCAAGACTGTTGTGTCCTTAATTGTTTTAAGAGGGAATAAAGGGGAATTTGCCAGGAACAATCCAATCTGGACAAGCCAGACTGGATTGCTTAACTCAAGAGATTCAAACGAATCTACCAAATAGCTTCCAGCAATATACAGGGGAACGTACTCTGCTACCAGCTCACTGGCGTGAGTGAGGAAGAATAATATTTAATCAGTACAGTGGTGCCTCGCAAGGCAAAAAGAATCCGTTCCGCGATTCTCTTCATCTAGCGGTTTTTTCGTCTTGCGAAGCAACCCCATTAGCGGCTTAGCGGATTAGCGCTATTAGCGGCTTAGCGGATTAGCGGCTATTAAAGGCTTAGCGGCTGAGCTGCTAAAAGGCTATTAGCAGCTTAGTGGCTTAGAAAAGGGGGGGGGAGCGGGGGAAAAATGGCAAGACTCGCAAGACGTTTTCGTCTTGCGAAGCAAGCCCATAGGGAAATTCGCCTTGCGAAGCAACTCAAAAACGGAAAACCCTTTCGTCTAGTGGGTTTTCCGTCTTGCGAGGCATTCGTCTTGCGGGGCACCACTGTATATCCTCTCCTACTACCCACAACATTCCCACAAAGTTCCCAGTTACAATGTGTTCTAATGGCTACCTGGGATTGAAAATCGTAACGGATGGTTACGTTATCCCTCTACTTTCGGAAGTACTGTATCTCCGAATACCAGTTTTGGGGAATTCACAAGTGGGGATAGAGCTGTTGTGCGCTTGAGGGTTCCCCACAGTCTTCTGACTGGCTACCATGAGGACAGGATGCTAGAAAAGTGGGCCATTGGCCAGACCCAGCAGAAATGTGATGGCCTGGGATTGGGACTCGGAGGCTGAACCTGAGGGATCCCAGCCTGCACAGGAGTCCCCACCTCCAGAACCAGCTGAGCTGGGGCTGGAGCCTGAAGGGTCCTCACCTGTGCTGGATCCTCAGGTGCAGGCACCAGCTGAGTCTGCTCTGGCCCCTGAGGTGATGGAGGACCCATTGCCTGCAGGTGCTCCACTCTTAGCCCCGTCAGGGGAAGGTGAGGTTGCCTTTGGGTCCGGTAACCCTCCAGCCTCTCCTGAGTTGCAGAGGCTCAGGGCAGAGAGGCGGAGGGAACTAAGTTCCTGCAGGAGGAGTGCTCGCCTCCAGGCCAGGAGAGGCGAGTCACCTGTGGACTGGGGCCACCCTATGCCTCGGGGCAGATAAAAGCCAGTCAGCCCCAGTGCCAGGTTGCGGGAGCAACATTGTTGGTAGCCTGTTCCTTGTCCTGCTCTTCCGCCAGAGTTCCTGACCACACCCAACTCCTTGCCTTGGACCCCGC